TGACTTGGTTTTGGGTTAGGTGGGCTTGAACACAACACTAACCCCCCCCCCCCCCCCCAAAAAAAATGGCATCAGATAATAAATTAATATATAGTTTGGAGCCCAGATGGACACCTCAGCTCTATCCTCTCAGGTAGTCATAATGTTACGGCTGATCGTTGTTATGAATCGGTGCAGATTTATTAGCCATACAATTTGTTAGCAATTTAAAATATAATTATTCAGAAACATATTTTGTAATTGAAGGATTTTATGTTTTGATTCTTCATACCCTTCTTCATTTTCTTCATTCGGGCGCCTGTGGCTGAGTGGTTAGGGCAGTCATCCTGCAATGCAAGAGTTGGGGGTTCGATTCCTCTAGCAGTCTCATGCTGTAGTGTCCCTGGGCAAGACACTGAACCCCTCATTGCCTCCGATGTGTGTCCCATTGGTGTATGAATGTGATAAAGCTCTGATTAGTCTCTACAGATTTAGATTAGCTTTGTAGATCTAGTAGAGTGCTGTATGAATGGATGAATGAGGACACAGATTGTATTGTAAAGCGCTTTGCGTATCTTGATAAGATAGAAAAGCACTATAAGTGCAGTTCATTTACCCGGATACACTTTGACATTAAACGCTGAGAATCCACACATGGAGCCACAGGTTGAGCTATTCATATCTGCCAAAACTCCACAACGCATCTGTTTCCAGTTTTAATCTTCAACAGCACTTAAGAGTCTGCAGACTACAGCACTGTTGGTCCCAGGCTGCGTGGGTCCTGCCCAGACAGATGTTTAAAGTGAATAGTGCCCCTGTCCTCTAGACTTCTAAATTAGGCCTGCTTAGTCAGCTCAGCTGTCCTCTGCCTGCTATGATGACTGAGCTCAAGCTGCGGGGACACAATAGTCTCCCTGGAGAGGGTGCAGGCTCTGCTGATGCTGGAAGAAGCAATGCTCTGGAATTTAAAGCACAGCTTGAGCTCAATTCGAACGTGCCAGATATACCGCAGTTTGCAGCCTGACACTGTGTGTGTGTTTGCTTTCTTGTCCTGCTTTTGGATTGTTTTCCCCTTTTTTTCTTTCAGTTGCTACAACAGAATTGTATTGGATAAAGGAAACATTTTTATGGTGGCCTTTTAAATTTTCTTGCACACATTATGTTTCCCACAGCTCATGTAAATCAGCTAATATCTATAAACACACACACACACGCATAAGCCTGTATGTGTGCAGTGTATTCTGCATTCCCAGACATTATTGGTCTGTACATTGAGGTTCCTCTTGGACCTCAGACCACAGCTCATATGACAGCAAGCGTATCTGTGGTTGTGACATCAATAGTTGTTGTTTGTTTGCCTCTGTCGGTGTCTTCAGGCCGCACTCTGTGTGGCATTGAGCGCTATTAAAGGTCCTTGAACTGAGCGAACAGGAACACACAAACTTGTCATTTATCATCATGTCATCAAGACAGCCAGGCAACAAGATGAGTTAAGGTGGACACTGTTTGTCTTTTAACTCCTGTTTTTCCTTTAAAAAAAACATAGCTCCGTTTAAAAATATACTGCATATGCATGAGTCTGATATGGACGTTTTTTTTTTGTATACATCTATCAAAATCTTTTATTTGGATTATTTGCTTCTTTATTCAGTTTTATGAGGGGTTTCCTTCAAATTGAACTCATCTTGTAGTTTATTCCTGCAGCTAAAAATGTGCAGAAATAGGAGTGATGCTTGTTTGATCATTTTGCACCTATAGTTTAATTTTAAGTAGCTTTCTATTTGGTTTTGTCCACTAAATAAGATGCATAGCAATATTTAGTTGTTATTTCTTGGTATATGTGGCTGAAATCCCTGGAAGCTCTTCTGCTGTGTGAAAGGAAGTTCTGCATCCTGTGTGCTTTTCATTATTCATGCTGAGATGCTGTGTTTTGTCGTGTTTGCCTCTTAGCTGAAGCCGGCAATAAATTCTGAGCAAGCTGGTGAATATAATCAAGCTCAGAGCTGTAAAGACAGCTGGAGGATTTCTAAGCTTCAGAGTTTTCAAGAAACTCGACAAAAGTTCATTTTGTTCCTTTCGTAAACTTGTATATCTACCTTGGAGCAGCTGACGTGACGGCAGAGTGAGAGGAGGAAGGAAGTGACAGCGAGATGAAATGAGTTTTAGATTTATAATCCTTCAGACATGACCCCCATTTCCTGCAGCTTGACGTCCTGGGGAAATGTCACGTCAGACTTCTGTTGGTCAGATTGGACGGACAGGAGGGAGACGCATTGACTCGCAACACAAACACTCACATCAGCATGCAGACACTTCGTTGTCAATGTTTGCTTATACCAGATTTCAATTATTTGCATATTTTGATGGGGTTTTTTTTTTTACTCTCGTATGGTAATTTTCTGCTTTTTTGACATTTTTTCCTGTAGATTCCTCTGTTAATGCTTTTTCCCATGTGTGATGATGGACACTAAAGCCATGGCTTTTACTTCTGCTATAAATGTCATCATCACCATCTGAAGGATGCCGTTTGCTTCCAGGAGGATTAGAGGATTATGTAATTTTATGTTATAGAGGAGGATTATAGCCTTAAAGTGTATGATGCTAACTTCACCAAGGTTGACTTTTACCATTTGTAAAAGTCATCTTTGACTGCTTAAATCCAATTTAGGCGCACCTTTTTTTACTAAATGTATATTTAGTGACGTTATTTATTACCAGAAACAAGGTGCATGTGGAACACAGAGCAAACCCTCCTAAATATTTAGCATTATAATTTTTTTAGAGGCTTTTGCAGACAGCATGAGTTTGAGTTGCCTCGCCCTCACTTGTCTGTCAGTCGGTGAGCAGCAGAGGAGTGGAGGTGCTCGTTTTCTCTGCCCGTCTGTCTCATTGTGTGGGAGAAGTCTCTGACCTGCTGTAGACAAATGTGCAGCGATGAGGCAGAGAGCCCACTGAGTCTGCCGCACTGCCATCATTAACATGGAGAGTCACACTCCCCCTGTACCGACTCGTTTGCAGTTTCTGCCTTCAGGAGAAACAATACTTCATCTGCACAGCCCACATTTACTCCTCACTCTTAAAATTGTCAGCAAATGATCAAAAACTGCGTCCTTCAGCTGCATTTCATTTCATTGGTACCATGAATGTGTTGTTTCTGAGGAGCTGTTGGTAATTATTATATATATATTTTTTTAAAGCTTAAATTATTTTTTTCTGGTATGTTTGTGTAGAAGCTCACTCATCCAGAACTAGCAAGCTGAACTGAATATAACTGGACGCTTACTTTTAGTTCTTGAATTTTGCTTTTAACCCTGATATTTTGTCAATTCCACCTTTTTTCGAAATGTGTTTGTCTCAAGTCATAAATGGTTACTTTTTAATTTTTATGTATAATTTTTAAAAAGATAAGTGAACGTCTTCAAGAATCGGAAAGGAAGTCCAGTTTCCTTTATTTCTACTTGCTAGGATTCATTTGGGATTCATTTAACCCAGTGGTTCCCAACACTGGGCCTTGAGGAACACCATCCTGCATGTTTTAGTTGTTCCCCTGGTTTGACACACCTGATTTGAATAAATTAGGGGTGTACCAATAAATCTGCCCCGATTTCCTTAATTTCGGAAATCGGCCGATACTCGCATGAAAAAACGATTTTACAGATTTTTTTTTTAGTTTTAACAACAATTGTATAAACTTCATTTATATTTCAGAGCACTACCTTATGACCAGTTAGAACAAGTTTGTATTGTTTCTAGGATATTGTTCAAGGGTATGTTTTTCAATAAAATAAGATTGGAAAAATGAAGGTACATTGTGCCCTTATAACACCTGACAGTGTCGCTTATAAAACAAAATTGGCCAAACTCTGAATCGGCAGGTCAGACTTTTTAGAAATGGGTGGTTGGCCAGAAAACTGCAATCGGTGCACCTCTAGAATAAATGGGTGATTAACAGGCTTCTGCAAATTTGAAAAAGTAATAAAATCACAGGATCAGGGGTGTTGGAGCAGGGAAACCACTAAAACATGCAGGATGGTGTTCCTCATGGACCAGGGTTGGGAACCACTGATTTCACCTTTTAGTGGCTGAAAGAAAAAAAGTGTTTTTAGCCTCACTAAGACACTTTCTTTTAGTGGATTTTTGGAGCTGCTGATGTTCAGTGAAAGTGACACTTGGTGGATCAAAGAGAAAAGGAAACAAAGGTTACATGAGCAGTCACCAGACAACAAGTCAATTTAAAGGCAATTAGATTTGCTTTTTTTATAATTAATGTTTATTTCTATCCCCATAAAAGGAAAATGTTGATGGCACACAGATTTAATTTAAATTGCTGCTGTTTGCATCATTATGGGCTCATCGTTGTTAAGGTCTTCTTATGTTACAAACTAAAGTTTTAACTAATCTTTATTTTCCATTGTTAGTCTCCCAGATCTTGTTTATTGTATTTACACTTTAGTATTATTTATTTTAGAGCATCTTTTTCCTCGGTTTCTATAAGTAGGGTGCTTTTTAGTATTTGGAAGTAGGTGCATGTCAGAGAAAGCTCCTGTCCTAAAACACAAGACACCTGGGGATTTGTTTTAAACTCTCCACATCTCTCCTGCCTGAGGTGGTGATGTTGGCACTTGACTCAAAATGAGACCCAGTTTTTTCTTTGACGTAACACAAAATCTCCAGAGATTTTATTTTATTTTATTCATATCTTATTCTCCATGTGGCTTGTTTGTTTTGAGGCTGAGTCTTAAACCTTTGCTGCCTCATATCCGATCAAACAAATCTGCTGCACAAGTAAAGCACCATTAAGTAAATACACAAGAGTTTAGAGCTTTTCTCACAGCTCTGTTAGTGCTACTTGAAGGTAGCTAAAGCACTTTTTACACATCACTGGTGCAAATTACAGGGTCATGGGTGTTTTTCAACTGAAAAAGGCCTTTGGAAAAGTGTAATAACTGAATTTAGTGCTGCTTCTCTGATATTAAGTTTGGTTATCAGTCGCTGATCTGGTTTTGTTGTTCGTGTTGCAGAGGGAGATGAAGGAGCAGCTGGCGACCCTGCAGGACAGTGAGAGGGGACACACCGAGGCCCTGCAGCTCCTGCAGAGACAACTCCTTGAGACCAAGGTACTGGAACTGTTTGCCTTTAAAATGTCAGCTTTCATACAGAGCAGGACATGTGGCCATAACCCATGTACCCCCACCCTCGTAAAACTGCTACTGAACAGCGCTGTCGTTTTGACATTTGACAAACCTGTTTATCTATACGGATCTATAAGATTTGAATCTATAGGTTGTCATTATTTTTGCTGTTTGTTAATACTTTTCAAATTTCTTAGGTTACAGTAGTCCCCTCGATTATTGCGGGGGTTACGTTCCACACACCCCTGCGATAGGTGAAAAACCGCCAAGTAGGAATGCTATATTTATTTTAGTATTTATATATATTTTAA